GGTTGGACTAGATGACCTCCAAGGTCCCTTCCAACTCTGTTATTCTATGATCTATCTGTCCCTGTCATGCCCCTGTCAGAATCTGATTCCGAGGGGGAGGCTGAGCAGCTGACAGGGAGTGTGAGTGTGGCTCTGTTGGCTATGGAAGAAACTGGGGAAGGGCAAAGTCCGGCTGAGCAGAGCAGGGGAGAGGTAGAGCAAGGCAGAGGGAATTCGGAGGAAGACCAAGCCCACCCCCTCTTCATCCTAGGGCACGCAGGGAGGAACGGAGAAGGGAGCAATGTGAGTTGCATGGCTTACGAGGGAGGAAAGGGCCCTGATTCCCTTCACTACCTGCAGCTGGGAACACAGTGTTTAAAAAGGGAGTTTGTGCACAGCAACTCGTTGGAAGCAAATCGTGTATTATCTTGCTTTGCCAAGGCTTATCTGGGCTCCTGGCATCTTCCCAACTGTGTGTGTTTTGGCCTTTGACGTGTGCAATTCCTTCTCCTGCCCTGTCCAGTTAATTGCTGCAGCATGGTTTGTATGAATGTTTATTTACAGTTTGTATGTACTTTGTTTTCGGTCTGAATTTCCTCCCCTTAGAGACTGTTCTTAGGAGAGATTTTTCTCCAGACGAAGATAACTGGACATTGGGGGCAAAGTTGGAGGTATTAAAAGGGACTTTTCTTACTTATGTGACTGCGTCCCTTTGGGTCATCACAGTCCCTCCCATGGACAGTCCGGGTGGATTTCCTTCAGGATCGAGAGATCGGCTCTCCTTGCAGTCCAGGGAGGACTCTCTTCTTCAACAGCAATACGAAACCAAGAACCAGTGACACAAAAGGGCTTAAATTCATTTTTTTATTATTATTATTATTATTAAGATGATGATGATGATGATAATGATGGAAATCTATAAAATAGCCACGTGGATTTATTTATTTTTTAATAAGATCACACCACACACAACGCTTCCTTCCCCAGCCCACCTCTGGTCGCAGAAGCAGATCCACCCACAAAGATGTCCTTGGCCACTTGTGAATCCCCCCCCTCCCCCCCCCCAAGATGGCACCTGAACAAGAGAGGGGGGGGAGACAGGTGTGGCATCCTGGAACTGTTTCTTGCCAAGGGGGAGGCTGGAAAGGGAAGGTTAGTCGGGGTGGGCTGACCCGCCCCTCTTCCCCGCATTACAGACACATCAAAAGCCACAGGGCACAAGACACACAGCACTGAAATATATTTCCGAACACAACAGGTGCTTATTTATTTTAATATTAAACTCAACACAGCTCGGGGGGAAGGTGCCAGCGCCAATTCTGCACAAGGTTTGTGCTGTAGGGAATCGCACAAAACAGCTCTTGCCCTCTACCCCCAAATGTATCTCCATGCTAACCATCTTATTTATTTATTTTCTCAACAGACAAGTTTGCCATAAAGAATGGGAGCCGGGGGGGAGGAAAGCAAAGCGGTGGAATCATTCATATTTTACTAAATAACACACATTTTGGACAGCAACATTGTTAGACTAAATATCCCTTCTGACTTAATAACAAAAATAATACTTAATAGTTTATAAACTCAGACCAGACAAGCCCACCGCTTTTGTTGTATAAAACAATATCGCCCACAGGAAACTGTGCTAAGCTATCAAAAGAAACGCAAGACAAACACATATTCTGAGTTTCGAAAGTGCTTCACTTCTGCAAATCCACTGCAGTAACATTTTAATATTTCATTTAATTTTTATTTTATTTTTTTAGTCAAGTTATATTAGTTAGGAGTGGACAATCGAACAGGAGTTATCCCGGACTAAATATAATGCACGCATGTATACGGATAGATCGATAAAGGAGAATATTTGTAGCTGAAATGAGGAATCCTTGTTTTGTTGCAGACTTTTCATGACCCAGCTAGGTAATATCATCAGTGTTAGAAGGGAGGGAGGTTTGGGAGGGGGAGGAGAGGGAGGGGGAGGAAGAGGAGGAGACAACTGTGTGGTCCTTGGTGCTCTCTAAGCTTGGTTGTTTTCTTGCAGATGTTTCATGACCAAACTAGGTAACATCATCAATGCTAGTAAAGAGCATTTATTAGCAAACCTCACTCCCTACTCGCACTGATGACGTTATCTAGTTTGGTCATGAAACGTCTGCAAGGAAATAACCACGTTCAGAGAGCATCAAGGACTACTCAGAGACAGAGATAGCTAGATATAAAATTCCCTTGTCAAACGGCCTCTTGTGGCAAAGGAACAACTTCCAGTTTGGGGATTGGGAAGGCTTGCGAGTCTGTCCGGAAGGAGGCCCAAGGCCTGACTCATTGTGGAAGGGAGTTTGCAGGGATACAAGGAAAGCTGGAAAGCAGCAACAGGCCGCTTCGAGTGGCCTTCTTGGACCCTGCCCAGGCGTGGTCTCCTCAGGAAGATGGGGCTGACCCACCTGGAACTGAGGGCCACAGAGAAGACACCACGAAAACTTCCTTGAGCAAAGAAACCCAGAAAATCCGCAGCCCAATTCTGCAGCCTTTATTTTCCTCACTAAAGTAGAGTAACCCTCACTTTTTGGCCACTGTCAAAGGAAGAGAAATGATGGCAGCTGGGCAGAACTCCAGAGCCCACCTCAAAGCTTTGCAAAATACCCCTTGAGATCCCCCTCTCTCCCAGCTGAGTCTTCTGCCCTGCCAAAAATGTTCCGCAGCAGTGGTGGGATTCAAAAAAATTTTTTTACTACCAGTTCTGTTGTCGTGGCTTGGTGGGCATGACAGGGGAAGGATATACTGTAAAATCCCCCTTCCCTCCCCACCCCACCAACCTGCTTTCCAGCTCCGTTCTCCCGTGCAGGGCAACCAAAGGAAGACCCAGCCGATCCGCTGGGACTCAACGGGAGGCAGAGAAGAGATGGGGGTTGGCGGGGCCAGTCAGAGGTGGGATTGGCCGGTTCTCCGAACGACTCAAAATTTCCGCTACTGGTTTTCCAGAACCGGTCCAAGCTGGCGGAATACCACCTCTGTTCCCCAGCCATCTTCCTGATCCCGTCCCTTCCTGGATGTTGTCGTTATACCTGTTCACCGAGCATGCCTGCAGGGAGGGGTCCTTCCCAACCTCGTGCCACAAAAGCAAGCAGGGTCGATTTTGCACCCGGGGCCCCCTTGGGGAGTCCCTTGGCCATGTTGAATAGCAAAGACAAAAAAAGGAGTTCCCAACTACTGTGGAATGACAACTGCCTGATTAACACTTGGGAGTAAGTGTGTGTGTATATATATATATATATATATATATATATACATACACACACACACACACACATACGCTGGTTATGGTCAACACAATTTGCTTCTCGCCGGTGTTCAAATATGAAACCGAACAGAAAGCCCCGGAGGAGAAATCCACTCTTCACACACACACACACACACACACATACAAACACACCCAAGTGAAACACCCGCACAGTTTTGGCATATTCTCTGGAGAAGGCTTTTGCCGAATGTGTGTCCGCCAAGGTCAGCCCTTCTCCCTCCAGTGGCGGTGAGTCGAGCTTCTTCCTTCCCCGTCTCTGTTCCGGTCTCTTCCTACCTCGCCAGCCCAGAGCATGCTTTGGCCTACACGGTGGCCTCCAACATGGCCTCTTGCTCTGTCAAGATTTCATTCTGGTTTGAATCGAGTCCAAAAAATTTGACCTTGAGTCCATCGACCGGGTGCACCACCGGCACCAGGGTGACCGGAGGGAAAGTCCTGGTGGCCAACTCGAAGCGGCTCATGCTGGCCAGCTCGATGGCCAGCACTTTGAGGAACAGCTTGGCCAGGTGTTTGCCGAGACAGGTCCGTACCCCTCCGCCGAAGGGCAAGTAGTGGAAGCGGCCATCTTTGTCTTCGCTGCGGTCCTGGCTGAAGCGATCGGGGTCAAAGACGTCCACGTCCTTGAAGACGGGAGCGGTGTCGTGAGTGTCTCGGATGCTGTACATGATGCTCCATCCTTTGGGGATCTGGAAGCCCTGGAGAAACACGAAACAGATGGTCAGGGTGGGGGGCACGGAGAGAGAGACAGAGAGCCCCTCCCAAGGTTCGAGAGGCACTGGGGCTATTCTAGAACGTGCGGGGGGGTCTGATTTAGGGGAACCCCGAGTCCTAGGAAATTCGAGATGTCCCATGCACACAGACCATTTCATGACCTAACTAGGTAACATCATCAATGCTAGAAGGGAGAGGGGTGTGTGGGGAGGAAGAGGAGGAGAGGGGGAGGAGGAGGAGGAGGACTGTGGGGTCCTTGGTTCTTTCTGAATTTGGTTGTTTCCTTGCTGACATTTCATGACCTAACTAGGTAACATCATCAGTGCTAGAAAGGAGAAGGGTTGAAGAGGAGGAGGGGGGAGAGGGAGGAGGAGGAGGAAGAACTGTGGGGATCCTGAGTTTTCTCTGAGCTTGGTGGTTTTCCTGCGGACATTTCATGACCTAATTAGACAACATCATCAGTGCCAGAATGGAAGGGGGGGGGTTATTCCCTGTTTGCATACTAGTGGTTTGCTTTGTCAAGAAGGAGCTGTCCACCCGGTTGGAAGGCGGTGGCTGTAGGGAATGACCAGGGTCAGCCCAAAGACAACATCATCAGTCCAGCCTGCCTTGAAGTCAGTTGACTTGTATCTGGCGCCAATTCACCTCGACCATTAGTAGATCAGATTCTCGCGTTGAGGAAGAGGAAATAAACCCTTGGCACTTTTGAACTCTACCCTGGCTCCTGACTTCTTGCACATGATCCAGGTGTTGTAACCCAGAACAACCCTCTGGGAGGGGCAGGTCCAATTGCTTGGCCTTCAGACCTTCTGCAGCTTCTAGAGCTGTCCAAGGTTGCCACCAGCCTATGAGCTTTTCAACAGGTTTAGTGTAAAGACAGGGAGTGACAGTGAGCCAAAGGGTGGGAGCCATTAGAAGACAAACCACTGTCATCTCTCCAAACTCTCTCAGAAATGGACCAAAATTGTTGGCTTGGGATGGAGGTTTTCCTGCTTGCCTCCCAGAGACCTCCTGCTCCTGTTATCGCTCTAAAAATATTATTCCCTGCAAAAGTATCGATCATTTGGCCACCAAATTAAAGCAATGCAATCCCAGGGTGGTGGGCAGGTCACAGGGTGCCCCTTTCTATCCTGGAGGCTTTACCCCAAATTTGTGTCTATTCATGAGCTGGAATAGAGCACGGTAACAAGGTCAGCCAACGAATAGCAGCTAAGTCAGCCAATGAGGACTGTTTGGAAACTGAAACTAGAAGTAGCCTAAGCGTGGCTCTGCAGCTCTGCAGCTCGGTTAAGCTCTGAGTCTGTCTCTCGGAAATGAAACTGCTTCTGTCCTCTGCTGTGTGTCTTGCTTGCCTGCTGAACTAAGGTGAAACTGAGGTCTGTTTCTGCTGAAGTTGAGTTGCTGCTCTGCTCTGAGCCTGTAACATGTCTGCTTCTGTTTGAGTTTGCTCCATGCAGGAGAAATCTACAACTGGTATTGTAACATTTACTTTATGTGTTTATAAAGAAGTTAAATGAAGCCTCGGCCGTCGGTGTTTGCTTTTCTGGCGCTGAATTTACCCTGCAATACTCTGAACAGTGTCAACCTAGAACACTGATTCTCAACCTTGGCTGCTTTAAGAGGGGTGGACTTCAACACTCCCAGAATTCTTTGCTGCTGGGGAATTGGAAGTCCGCACCTCTTAAAGGGGCCAAGGCAGAGAAACACTGGCCTAGAAGCGCCTTTCTCCAGGGGAGGGGGCTTCGTATGCAAGGTCCTCTTACTCACATCCAGCTCAAAGGTCTGCAGCACCGTCCGGTACCCCCCCGAAATGGGGGTGAAAAGCCGGAGCACCTCCTTGATGACACAGTCCAGGTACTGGAGGCTGTGGATGGTCTCCAGATGAAGGCCCCCCTCGCAGAGGCAGCTGTTGTGCAGCAGGCTCTTGCTCCTCAGCTCTTCGCGAAGCTTCTCCAGAACCGACGGGTGCTTCAGCAGCTGCATGATCAGAGAGGTGCTGGCACTGGCGGTGGTGGCATAGGCAGCGAAGATCAGCTCCAGGGTGCCATCCTAGGGCAAAGAGAGGCTGCCTGAGCCAGGGCTGGCTGGTTGAGCTAAACTCTAACCCTAACCCTAAAGAGCAGCTCTCTTGAGATAAGTCTATCACGGTCTGGTTGGGTTCTGCATCCCAACAGGACAGACACAGACTCCAGAGAGGAATTAGGACTGCAGAAAAAACAATGGCTACCAACCTGCCTTCCATAGAGGACCCGTATCCTGCACGAGTCCAAAAGAGGGCTGTGAAAATATGTACAGACCCCTCACATCCCGGACAAAAACTGTTTCAACTCCTCCCCTCAAAACGACGCTGTAGAGCCCTGCACACCAGAACAACTAGACACAAGGACAGTTTTTTCCCCAAATGCCATCACTCTGCTAAACAACTAATTCCCTCAACACTGTCCAACTATTTACTAAGACTGTATTACTATTATTATTCTCATCCTTCCTAGTATCTATCTCTTCCCACTTATGACTATAATCATGTTGCTTGTATCTTTACAATTTATATTCCTGGATGCCATCACTCAGCTAAACATATAATCCCCTCAACACTGTCCAACTATTTACAAAGTCTGCACTACTATTACTATTAATCTTCTTATCACTCCTTTCACCCATCTCCTCCCACTTGTGACTGTATGACTATTTTCTATTCTATTCCATTCCATATCATCTATTCCTACAATACTCTACTCTACTCTATTCTATATTCTATTCTATTCCATTCCATTCCATATCATCTATTATATTCTATTATATTCATACTCTACTCTACTCTAATATATAGAATATTCTATCCTAGTCCTTATTCCATTCCATTTCATTCCATATTTTATATTCTATTCCATCCCATATTTTCTTTTCTATTCTATTCTATCTATTCCATTCCATTCCATATCATCTATTCTATTCTATTCCATTCTATTCTATTCCTACTCTACTCTATTCTATATTCTATCCTATTCCCCATTCTACTCCATTTCATTCCATATTTTATATTATATTCAATTCCATATTTTCTTTTCTTTTCTATTCTATTCTATCTATTCTATTCTATTCCATTCCATATCATCTATTCTATTCTATTCCTACTCTACTGTATTCTATATTCTATCCTATTCCCTATTCCATTCCATTCCATTCCATTTTCTATTCTATTCATCCTGGTCTAGCACTGAGCACAAAAGGGGGAGCCTAGCGCCCCCAGTGGCCCCGGAGGGAAGTGGAGCCTGCTGCCTGTCTGGCTCAGGGACGGTACCTTCAGCTCCTGCATGGTCAGTTCCTTGCCATATTCTTTGCCGCTTTCGATCAGGAGGTCCAGGGCGTCCAGGTAGTCCTTGCCTTGCGAGCTCTGCAGCTTTTCCCGGATGGCTTTTTCTAAGACTTTCTGCAAGATCTCCCTGGCGCGAATCCCCTATGAAAAGGAGTCCCGGGATTACGTCAGTCCCTCCTCCCACTGTGTTAAGACTTGGTGTCCCAGAATGCCCGGCCACAGGGCTCTCGGCCGGGGCAATAGCTAGACCTCTGTTGTGTGCTGAACCCTCTAAATAACGGGGTGCCCAACCTTGCCAGCTTCCAAGCTTGTGGATTTCAAATCCCGGCATTCCCCAGCCACTTCTAGGTTTGCTTAACTCAGGGTGTCCGATCTTGCAACTTTAAGGCTTGGGGACTTCGACTCCCAGAATTCCCCAGGCTGGGGAATTCTGGGAGTTGAAGTCCACAAGCCTTAAACTTTAGTTTAGATTAGTTTAGTCTGGTTTGCTTTATTGTCATTGCACCTCGTACAACGAAACTAAATACCATCTTCAGCACGCAATTTATGACTATGAAAACACACACACACACACACACACACACACACACACATCCTTCACATTCTATACAATTGAATTGAAAACCCCTAATACTGCATTCATATTGCACTCTACAGTAGAATTCAACAGAGCTCCTGCCCTGGGATAGAAGCTGTTTTTCAGCCTATTTGTCCTTGTTTTTATTATTCTGTACCGTCTGCCAGATGGTAATAGTTCAAAAAACGGGTTGCCCAGGATGAGATGGATCTTTGAGAATGTTTTGAACTTTCTTAAGGCAGCGGGAGCTATAAAGCTCTTCCAAAGAGGGGAGAGGGCAACCCATGATCCTCTGGACAATGACATTAACCCTCTGGAGTGCTGTCCTATCTACCCCTGTGCAATTGGCAAACCATAGAGAAGTGCAGTAAGTTAAGATACTCTCTATGGTGCAGTGTAGAAGGTCACCAGCAGTTTTTCATTCAGTTGTTGTTTTCTGAGAAGTCTCAGGTTGTATAATCTCTGCTGGGCCCTTTTGACCATGGCTGCAATGTGAGCCCCCCAGGTCAGGTCCTCTTTTAGGGTAACATCCAGAAACTTCAAACTGGCCACTTGCTCCACTCGGTCTCCCTTGATAAGCAAGGGCTGGATGTCTGACCTGTTCCTTCTATATAGTCCACTATAAGCTCCTTGGTCTTATTGGTGTTGAGGACCAAGTTATTGTCTCCACACCACGAAAGCAACTGATCCACCTCATCTCAGTAGGCAGACTCATCCCCCCTCCCTCCGGAGATGAAAAAAAAATTGCCAAGATTGGACACCCCTGCCCTAAAGCATCTAAACTATAAGAACCAAAATACCCCACCCCTATCTCCTCCACTTTGGATCCATCAGGAGGTACCTCAAAGGATGCCACCTTCTACCAGGGTTGGGGCACACTTTCCCATGGGGTTTTGGGGGCAGGGAGAGGCTCGCCATGGCCTTCTTTTCAACAGCACCGTAAGAGGGGGTCCAGCCCAGGCAAAGCACCTAGATTTCTGCCCCACCTTGATGGAGCCCTTCCTTACCTTACGGTAGCCACTGAAGGGCAGGTCCACAGGTAAGGAGAAGACGTTCTCCACGAATTGCTGGTAGACTTCGAACATCTGGTTGAGCTCCCCATCCGGGATTCGGAATCCCAAAAGGACCCGGATGGCCATGTGGAAAGTGAGCTTCTGGGCTTCGTGGTAGACATTGATGGGCTCGGGGTTCCTGCCCCAGACTCTCAGGGTCTCTTGGATCACCAGCCGGATTTTGGGGAGGTAACTTTCCAGAGCTTCATGGCTGAATATTTTGGAGAACACCTGAAACGCAGACAGGGGAGAGGACAGGGTTAAGGAGGAAGGTGGCATTTTGCACTGGCAAGACTGGCAAGAATGTTTAAAGATAAACCGGCTAAATGTTGGAAATGCCACCAGACACCTGGAACATATTGTCATATGTGGTGGACGTGGATAGAAGCTAAAAGATATCGGACAAAAATACATACATGGTTGGAAAAGATGATACAGCAACCTATTGATTTAAAACCTGAAATATTTCTGCTGGGGATTATACCTGAAACTTATAGTTAATACATTATTCATGTATTAACAACAGCTAGAATTGTAATAGAATAGAATAGAATAGAATAGAATAGAATAGAATAGAATAGAATAGAATAGAATAGAATAGAATAGAAAATAGAGAATGGAATGGAATAGAATTCTTTATTGGGCAAGTGTGATTGGACACACAAGGAATTTGTCTTGGTGCAAATGCTCTCAGTGTACATAAAAGAAAAGATACATTCAGCAAGAGTCATCGGGTACAACACTTAATAAAATAATAGTCATAGGGTACAATAAGCAATCAAATCATACTAGGAAACAGTCGATATAAATTGTAAGGATACTACCGTGGCTTATAGACAAACCAGAATGACTACAGTGTTTGCTTGGCTATTCAGAGGGCAATGCTCAAACGGAGGCAGTTCGCATTTCTGCCCCTGAGCTGCGTGCCAACCTGGGATTCCTTGCTATTCACGGCACTGCACTGATGCGCCTCGTTTGGTCTTACGGATGAAAAGGAGAACCAGAGGGGGAAGCTGGCAGGAGATGGCTGCCCCCAAACACCCTGGCAATAAAGAAGCGCCTTTGTAGCTCAGGTTAAACTGTCAGGTCCTCGGGGCTCTCTGAGCCTGGTTGTTTTCTTGCAGACATTTCACGACCCAACTAGATAATACCATCAGTGCTAGAAGGAGGAAGAGGAGGAGGAGG